TATGATTACCCTTTAACATGTTTAGGGTCCCATATGTTATTAATATAATATAAAATCAGAAGATGCTATTAATATATATTTGGTACATATGTTATATATATATATATTATATAATCAGAATATGATTATTATATTATAAATATATAAATATAATAAAATATTATTTATTATCATTTTATAAAAAACAAACATATACACGTTTTATATTAGGTTTAATCTATCCATACTCTCTCACTACCAATAAATTGAAGGATATTGTATGCTTAAACGTATCCGAGGTCACGTTTACTTATATATGTTGTAATTAGGGGTGAATATTCGACCCACCCAATCGAGTAAAAAAAATTAAGTTAATCAAGTTTATGAGTACCATTTTACCATTCAATAATTATTTGAAATTTTATCGAGTCATGTTTATTAAATTCAAGTAGAGTCAAATCAATTACATTTGTTTGAGAATCTATTCAAATTTAAATATAATTATTTATAATATTATGGTACTAAATGGTTCTAATTTAAATTTTAAAATAAAAAAAATTAAATTTTCTTGAACAAATCGAATTTTACTAATCTTCAATTATAAAAATAACAATATCAATTAAATTAAAATTCAATCGATAATATACACATGGTGAAATACTATGTTATGATTGTTGGATTTATTAAAAAAAATGTTGGAAAGTGATCATATGGACCATGTTCTTTTATTATATCAATTATGTTGTTGATAGTAGAAGCTTAACAACTTGTGGGCAAAGGCATAATAATAAAATTCGAAACATTATAGTCATGGAATCATAAATTTTCAATTGAGAAACGGTCATCACTCTGGAACTCCTCTTTATAATCTTCCTAAGTTAATTTTACATCATATCATTGAAAAATATTCATTTTTTATATAAAAAATCATATAATCTTTACCACGTGGGAAAGTAAATGGAATCGATTAATATGTATAAAATACCAAATTAAAAATATTATCTTAATTAACATTTCCCTGGTTTTACAACAACTACAACTACTCTTGGAAGTTCAAAGAAAGAGAGAAGTCTATGGTCAATAAACTATAACTCCGTTGAATAAATTAATTTGACCGTCAAATTATTCAAAAAGAAAAGCAACTTAATACGAGCAGCAGCCATAGCCAACCATTTTTATTTCGATTTTTTAAATGAAAAAAATACCTTAGTATAGAGTAATAATAAATTATTTATGAAATGATAATCATGATATTATGTTAGATTAGATTGAATAAATTTTTTCATCATAAATCCAAATCTAATCTGATCACACCTTAAAGAATTTAATCTTATTCGAGTCTAAACTTTTAAAATAAAAACTAACCTATCTATATATGATCTAATTAAAACCCGCCGAATTTAAAAAAATGAATGTCCTAATCAAAATTTAAGGTAAGTTCAATAATGAAATATCATTTCATTAAAAATGAAAATTTTCAATATTTAAATTTTAAATTACGTTTAATAATTATAGGATAAATAAGTAGATAACAACTTGTTGATAAGGTTAAAATTGTGGAGGAAAAGGATTTTTTTTTCAATTTATCAAAATAAACTTTTTAATTTTTTATATAAAATTGTAAAATAAATATTATTTTAATTGTTTTATAATGCATACTTTGTGTTTGTTTTGGATATTATGCACAATTTAGATTACGCATGGATATTTCATAATCTTTGTCTATTGTTTTCTTAATAAAATAAAAATTAATTATTATTAGCTTGTAAGGTGCTTTATTTTATAATTAAGATCAATCTAATATACTCTATTGAAATGTAAATGCATGATCAAAGGTGTCAGGTAGTATTTAAAATTATATATGTACTATCAATTTAGTTAGTATCGTAATTTAATCGATTATTAAATTACTTAAAAACAACTAAAATATTATTAATATTATGATAATTATATTATTTTTTTAATCTTTTCCATCACTTTCCAACGAAAAGTAGCCGTAATTTTCATGTTGTTTGACTGAGTAAGTTGGGTGATTTTGTTGTGCTGCGCTTAAAAAAAGGTTAAAATATAGTGTGATCTGTTAAACAAATGATTGATTAAAATTTAGATCGTTTATGTTATATTATTTAACCGGAAATATTATCAAGTACAATAATATATTAGGTAATGCTTATATAATATAATAGGTAGCGCTTATATTGACCTATTTTCTAACTAAATAGGTATATTTAAACCGGTAACATTGCAAATTTACATATTACATTATAATTATCAGTTTTGATGTTTTTGGGATTGATACAATTTTAAATGTATCGACACTTTATGCGTGCATCTTGTTGTGCTTTCATTTTGGGAAAAAGTATCGACACATATTTAAAGAGTGTCGATACATAATGTAAACCTATTTATTAATTAACCAGTATATTTTTACCGGTTACATTGTAAATTTACCTCTTACATAATAATTATCGATTTCGATGTTTTTTGAATCGATACTTTTCATAAATGCATCGACATTTATGCGTGCACCAGTTTGGGTTCTTCAATCATAAGTTTATTCTTTAAGAAACTAAAACTGGCCTAACTTTATCCTATGGAGATAATAAGAGTATATCATAAGTTTGCATTGAGAGATGTTTGTTTCTGGGTTTTTGTTCTTTAAGAAACTGATAACATAATGGGTTTCCCAATGTTATTCTTTTGTTACTGTAAAGTTTTTGTTATTTTCTTACTGGGTTTTGTTTAAAATATCCAACTTTTTGTATTAAAAAATAAAAATTCTGAAATAAAAATGATCACACAAGCACACTTTTTTACTATCGGTTTTGTCATTTCGAGATCGATTTTGTCATATTTTTACCTGTTATATTGTTATGGATCGATACATTTTTATAAAGTATCGACATTTTATTGACGCTATAACTTCTTTTCTTTTAAATTCCAAAAGTGTCGATATTTATAATAAAGTATCGATACTATCAACATATCCGGTAGCTCTTTACCGATTTTGTCATTTATAGACCGATATCCAACGGTTGTCGTCTAAGGACATATCCAAACCACCGTAGTCTTCCCTCCCTCAATTTTTCGGATACATGCACCACTCTCATGGACATTCTAATTGCAGAGTTTAGTGTCATGTCCCACAGTGTCCTCCACATGTCCATCGAAGCATTCTCATTTCTGAGGCCTCCATCCTCCTTACGCGATCCTTCTTGATTGCCCAATATTCTGATCCATACAGCAACGCTTGTCGTATTACCATTCTATAAAACTTTCTCTTAATTTTTAGAGGCACATTATTATCACACAAAACTCCAGTTGCAACCATCCACTTTAGTCATCCCGCATAAATTGCTTAATGTAATTACTTAATAAAAAAAAGGTAATTATAAAATTTGTCTTACTTTGAAGTTTCTAGTAATGGATAAATTAGATATAGATGATTCTAAAAAAAATATAGTCATAACACTAATTGAATTTCAACAACTATTAAAATAAAATTTGCCGTAACCAAATCTAAATAATCATAGGCATGATAATAAGTCGGATTGAGCCAAACAAATGATCTGATTGAGTTGGATCGAAACTCATTAGATCCAAGTAAAGTGGCCAATTCACCATCCCTAATAATCAAAGATGAATTGAGCGATGTTGAAGGCAATCATATTTTTTTATATTTTAAATTTTTATATAATTTAAGTATTTTATTTATATTTCTACTGGTACTCAATCTATTAATTAACAAATCTAGATCGAATATTAGAAAGGCCCAATATGAAGATGATCCTACGTTAGCAATGCACATACACCCTACAAATGTATATGCTCAAATCTGAAACTTCAAGAGAGAATGACAGTCTCTTTAATTATTATGATCACTTAATAATTTTTGTACTCTTAAAATTTTAATATAACTCTCTATAAATTTATATTTTAATGTCTAATATAATATAAAATTTTGTTCGCATATATATAAAATGATAAATTTGAACAAATTGAATATTATGTTCAAACTCTTACTTTTAAAGTATAAAAACAACAAATTTTAACATTTAAATCACATTTGTTTGATACCATCGAGAATGCATGCCTTAGAAAGAAAGACCAATTTGGTCAATATTAGGTAACATGTTTCATAATACAATGATACGTGTCAACGTGTCCCAAGTGTCGACCGTCGACCATTCAAGCGTGTAGCTTTCACCGCGTACGCGCGTGATATATTTCATATGGTAACACGTGCTGGTCCTATACAGCGAGTGACAAATCATCGCGAGTTAGTTATTTATTATCTTCAATTCCCATAGCATGAATTGTTTGGCTTTTCCAAAATATACTGTTTTTATTTCAGCACCCCAAAAGGGCAAAAGTTTAATTTAAGACTTAAAAAAATATTTAGAATTATGTGAATATATATATAAAGTGTATAAAAGAAGTATTCTTGTGAGTTCAAATTTCAAGTTAAAGGTTATTTAATTTTATTTCAATATATATATATATATAAAGCATACTAAAGATAAAATAAAAACTAATTTAAAATTTTAATTTGAAAAAAAGTTGAATAATTCAAATTTTAATCTAGAAACCAAATCTAGAAATAACTTTTAGATCTGAAAGTATCTCATAATATTACTCAAGAATCTTATATTTGAAGATTTCATCTAAAGAAAATAAAATTAAATAAAAAGGTTATATTATGGTTTTGGTCATTTTACTTTGCTCATAGTACAAAGTTAGTCCCTATAATTTAAGAAAAATGTTCAATTATTTTTATAATAGTATTAATTTTTTTCAAATAGTTATTATTATAAAATATTCATGAAAAATATATATAAAAAGATTAAATTTTAAATATATAAATAATACAAGGACTTGAAACATGTATCAACAAAAATAATAATATTATCTTCATAATATGGCAAGTAAAAAAAGGCTGTTACATGTAATTAAAATTAATTAATTACTTAATTATCCTCTGGTTCCCCAAACGCAGTTTTCCTTTCTTCTTAAAACACACTTAAAAACTGAGGCTTTCTCTTACTTTCTCTCTCTTGAAAAACTATTGATTTCATTTTCAAAGCTCTTTCCTTTCTTTTCCTCTCTGATTTCCTGCTCGCCAAATGAAGCTGACGGGCGGAAACGCCACTTCCCCCGCCGTTAATTTTGATCATTTTAGATGACGAAACTAAGCTTCCTTCTGCTTTTCGCCATTTTCTTATTCCCGGTGTTAACTCTTGCATTAGGATCCAGCTCGACTCTCGCCGTCGTTTACGGCACCGCCACCGTATGCGCCATCGTAGCATCGGAGCCGAATCAGCGCATCATCTGCTTGCGAGCAGGAGGCGCATCCTCGTCCGCCGTCATCCCTATCCAACCTAACGTCTCTTACTCCGCCCTCGCCGGTGGCCGAACCAACTTTTGCGCCCTCCGGTCCGGGGGATATAGCCTACTGTGTTGGGATACAAATACAAGTCTCCAATCTTTTCCCACTAAACGCGTATACAATAACAACACCGCCCTGCTTCAATCACTCTCCATCGGCGACGAACAGATTTGCGCGACGGCGAGGAACAGTACACCGCCGGTAAGCTGCTGGAGAACTGACAGGGATAATCGAAATAACAGCGGGGGATTACCCCATGTTAATCTGGCGATGGATAAAATCACATCCGGGTTTGGGTTTTCGTGCGGGATTGTTCCGAGTCAAAACAGCAGAGTAACGTGTTGGGGTAACTCAGTGGCTGAAGAGATAGAAAGACAATTCGGGAACATGTCAATGGCGAACATCGAAGCTGGGGTTTCCCATGTTTGTGGAGTTAACGCAGCCGGTGAGTTAGTTTGTAGAGGAAATAACTCAACGGGTCAACTCGATGTTCCGTTAAACAGAGGATTGGGGTTTGCTTCAGGGTTAGCTCTTGGTGATGGTTTTAGCTGTGGAATTAGGAGAACGATTAGGACAGTTGTTTGTTGGGGTTCAATGAACGAGAGTGCTGTCGAAGGAATCGAATTTGAATCTATTGTTGCTGGTCTGAATTTCACTTGTGGAATTACTACCAGGAATTTTTCAGTACTTTGTTGGGGTCTTGGTTGGCCCGGACCGAGTTCGAATTCCTCCATTAACGAGTTACCTTTGAGAGCTGAAATTTTACCAGGTCCTTGCATTGATTCTCCTTGTACTGAATGTGGGTTATATCCTCAATCGAGCAGGCTTTGTTCTGGTTCTGGTAACATTTGTAGACCATCACCCTGTTTTAACTTAACCAACCCGTCGCCTCCGCCATTGTCACCACCATCGATACCCGATGTTCCGAGGCAGAGAACGCCCTCTAGAGAGTTGAGGAGAGGGTTATTGGCTTTTGCAATAGTTGGATCAGTAGGAGGTTTTATGGGGATTTGTACTATTGTTTATTGCTTATGGACTGGTGTTTGTTTTGGGAAAAAGAAGGTGCATAATTCTGTTCAGCCAACTATCACTAGAGCCGGTTCGAATGGTAGTCCGGGATCGAACAATGGTCCTCCATCGAGGTCATTGACGATCAGACGCCAGGGCTCGAGATCAATGAAGCGTCAAAGAAGTGGCACATCATCAAAACATGCTGACAGAGCTGAGGAATTCAGCTTGGCCGAGCTCGCTGCGGCGACCAATAATTTTTCGCTCGAAAACAAGATTGGTGCTGGGAGCTTTGGCGTCGTTTACAGGGGAAAGTTGGTAGAAGGGCGTGATGTAGCGATCAAACGAGGCGAAACAGGCCAGAAGACGAAGAAATACCAAGAGAAAGAGACCGCATTCAATTCAGAACTGGCCTTCTTATCCAGGCTTCATCACAAGCATTTGGTTAGGCTTGTTGGGTATTGTGAAGAAAGGGATGAGAGGCTTCTGGTTTATGAATACATGAAGAATGGCGCGCTTTATGATCATTTACACAACAAGAACAACATCGAAAAAGCCAGTAGCTTGCTGAATTCATGGAAAATGAGGATCAAAATCGCGTTGGATGCGGCCCGAGGGATCGAATATCTTCACAATTACGCAGTTCCATCGATAATCCATAGGGATATAAAGTCTTCCAACATATTACTCGATGCGAACTGGACAGCAAGGGTTTCTGATTTCGGACTTTCGATGATGGGTCCAGAATCCGACCAAGATTATAGGCCGATGAAAGCAGCAGGAACAGTCGGTTACATTGATCCGGAATACTACGGTCTAAACGTACTAACAACAAAGAGCGATGTCTACGGTCTCGGAGTCGTAATGTTGGAACTTCTAACGAGGAAGAGAGCTATATTCAAGAATGAAGAGAACGGAGGGAACCCAATGAGCTTGGTAGATTTTGCAGTGCCAGCAATAATGGCAGGTGAATTGGCTAAGGTTTTGGATATTCGAGTGGGACCGCCGGAGATGAACGAAGCCGAAGCGGTGGAGCTGATGGCATACACTGCAATGCATTGTGTGAATTTGGAAGGGAAAGAGAGGCCAACGATTAGTGACATTGTTTGTAATTTGGAAAGGGCTGTGACCGTTTGTCATGGCAGCCATGGGAGCATCTCTAGTGGTGGATTCGAAATTGTTTCAGAGTGATTTTTTTTCCGCTTACAGTAAATTTATTTACTTTTTATTAATTTTTTCCATCAATGATTTATCCAATTATTTTTGGAGTTGTAAAGATTTTTAGAAAATCTGATTTTGATTTTGTTTTCCCACAATATTTGAGTTGTAGTGTAGGATCTTGTGAAAATTGACAGCAAGGAGAAATGATTTAAATGATATATTCATGTTGCTATTCATTTTAGGTTAAATGTTGCTATTAATCCCTATATTGTGCATATATTACATTATTGTACTCTAATTTGGTAATCTCTAATCTTTACACTTGTATTTTTTTTTAAATTTCAGTTTAACTCAAATGGTGATAGTTAAATTCGATCATCAATTTTTGTATTATGAATAGATTATGGTATTTGTGCTTATAATAGGATCCGTTAGATATCAAATTGGACATTGAAGTTTTCAACTACCGAAATTACGCTTACCATTTTAATATAATGATTTAAATTTAACTATTCGGATCCAATTTAAAACTTTTATCTATTTCGATTCAGTTTTGAATTTAAAAGAAAGATCAGATTATGTTTATATATAAGGACAATTTGAATATAAATGTCGGATATGAATATATCTATGAAAAGTACTCTAAAGTATTGAGTTGTTTGTTAGGGTAACTTCACTTTAGGGCGTGTGGTTTGAAAGTTACATACACATTGGCATCAGCTATGGGGCTTCGAGGTTGTTTCCCTATAAATTTCAACCCAAACAATGGGGTTCCCTTCACTGAAATGGTCCTACAAAACTCATTTTCTAATGAAATGGACATTAAAAAAATGCACACGTAAAGGCATTTGACTTTGGATTAGTATAAAATGTTTTTTGGGTTACACTAGTGCTCGGTCATTACAGTTAATCCCACAGGTTATCCATATCATTAGACAGCCTAGATTTGAAGATTTTTTAATTTTAAATTCATTATATTTGTTAAAATTAATTTGTGTTTAATCTATTTCCTTTTCAAAGGGAATATATTATCTAAGATTTAAATTTGAGATTAGGTGTTAACAAAAGAAGATAATCATATAATTTTGTCACTAAATTAATGACTGATTAACGAATTTTAATCTAATTGATTTGTGCAATCATTTTAAATTTCATATATAATGACAAATTTAATCCTTAAATTATATACTTTGTTACTTTCATCTTTTAAAATTTTAACGACTCTTGTGTAGATCCACACATACTTCATTGTTGATATAACATGTAATCCCTTACATTATTTTAGAATAATTTTTATTAAATATTTTTTATATTTTAAAATATTTATCATAACGTTAGCACTATTAAAAATTAACACTTTAAACAGTATTATGCTAAAATCAAAACAATCATTCCGCATCTTAATAAGATCCATTCTGCTATGGATTTATACATTTTTAATGTAAATACAATACAAACACAATTATGATAGAGTTAGTTGTATTATATATAGCTAAACTATTATTTTTTTATTTTGAATTGGTCCACAAATGTTAAAGTATTTCAATTTCATCTTCAAACTATGACTAGCATTTTAAATTAGTACTCAAGCTTTTGAATACTTCAATTTCATCCTTAAATTATGATCCACATTCTAAATTGGTCCCCCAAACTTTTGAATTTTCCAATATTATTCTCAAATTCATCCAAATATGTAATTATCCAACCATAATTATATCTATTTTTTCTTTCAAACATAAAATAATATAACTTTGCCTAACGATTTTATTAGTAGGGTATGTGATTAGTATATACCTACAGTTTGGGGTAGATTTGAAATGTTCACAAGTAGGGGGGACTAATTTAGAACAAGGGTCATAGTTTAGGGATGAATTTGAAACATTCAAAAGTTTGATGACTAATTTAGAATGAGAGTTATAGTTTGAGAATGAAATTAGAATATTCAAAAAGTTTAGGGACCACTTTAAAAATAAGGGTTATAGGTGGAGGATGTGTGATGCAATTAACTCATCATTATATATAGAAGGGTAAATTACATCACAAGTCATTCTATTATTAACAAATTTATAATTAGATCATTATATTTTAACAAATCACAACTAAATCACTCAATTAATTAGTTGTAATGATAATATAACTATAGATTTAAAGGTAATCTATATATTTTGTCACCCAACTATTCGTGCGGTTCTGTTTTGATCACCAAATTATTTTTCCCCAAAATTAGCACTAACGTTACGTTTTGAATTCATTTTAGTCACCCACATCGTTAATACATTAACGGTGATGTTGACGTGTCATCCTAAGATAATTTCATGTCATCATTGGAAAAATAATAATAAAAAGATTCCACATCAACAACTCAAACCAAAATGTAACATTAGTGATAATTTGAAAAAAAATAGTTGGATGACCAAAACAAAACCAAAATGATAGTTGGGTGACTAAATACATAGTTATCCTAAGTTTAATTTCAAATGGACCCTAACTTTTTGTTTATATTTTAGTCACTCAACTTTGGGATGTGAGTCAACCTTTAGAATTTTCTTTCCTATTTTCTTACACATTGGTGCAAAATCAATTTTTCAATATCTTGACTTGATGGATAAAAGTTGTACGATGTGGTGTTAAATGGCTTCCACCCCCCTTGGGTTATCTTAAATTCAATATTGACGCCTCATCTAAAGGAGATTCAACGAGTTGTGGATGGAGTTCTTTGAATACACGATGGAAATATTCTTGCTCCCCCCCCCCCCCGGTTGCTGCAGGTGTCTCTTCTGAGCTTGAAGAGGAAAGTTATCCAGGTTCATTGGAGGTAGCTGGTGTGATGGGATGACCCGAAAGTTTAAAATAATAAATTATTTGAGTTCTTCAATCATCATTTTAGATGCTTGAACCATAACTGGATTATGGACATCGCAGTGAATTTCGAAAGACTTTCAGTTGGCGACTCAATTAAAATTGATAAACGATCTTGCTGGTGGGAGAAGGTACGTAGTGAAGGAAGGGGAAGCGTGGCTCTTGAATCTTGATAAAGGATTAAACAGTTGAATTTCGAGATCGAGGCCACATGTTACTATCCAACCATAGGGAGTCCCCCAGCATCTCCGTGCTCGACGAAGATTTCTTCTGATATGTTGTAAAAACAACGTTTGTCGCTCTTCTCTTCCTCCGCAAGCATTAAACAAGCAGCAGCAGGTGGATTGAGTTTTTTTTTATCAAAGACATGACGACGATGATGGACAAGTGCTTAGATTTCGTTGGTTAATACAAGTTCTAACACACTCTTTTATATACTGAAACAAGACATAAACCTAAAATAATTACAACTCTGACTCCTTGTTGCTGAGGCTTATCTTTTCAACTCATAAATAATATTATCAAGTCTTCTTTGCCCTAAGTTGTAATTAATCTAATATTATGCAAAAGTGGTGCTCTGAAACCTTAGGAGCTCGTTACTGTCAGCTATGCAATGTGGGTGCTTTTTGGGGAGCTTGGTGACTTTGGATTTGATGGAATTTTCAGATGATTGTGGGTGTTATGGACTTTAAGGATTTGGGTGTTTGTTTCTTCACTCAGCTTGACTGGAATATGATTTCTACTATGTTCTTGCTTGCGTCTTCATGACCCAGTTTAGATATTGTTCGATTTACATACCAGGAGACAAGAAAAAAGATCATATACAAACGATAAATTTTAAGTGGCTTTTAATGCTAAATGGGGGTTTTCAGAATAGTGAACTTTACCTGCATGCCTAACAACTTGATGAAGCTCCAAGTTTTCAGCTTTCATGAAAATCTCATCAGTTAAAGTGGAAGGGGTTGTTGACGCTCAGGAACCTTATCAGTTAGATGGTTTGGATGTTTATCCATGCAGCAGCCGAGCTTATGAAGATATTAGTCTTTTGGGGCTTTCAAGTATTGGGCAAGGTGAGCGTGATAATGATCCAATTGCTACTCGTGTAGCTGAAATTGAATCTTGGGTTCCCAACTCAAATACATTCAATGCTGAGAATGCGCGTACGCTTATTATAGGGAAGAAAAAATACAGGTCTACGCTAGACCTCCAAAACCAGGTACTATCAGAAGCTGAAAAAAAAAGAGAGATCGTGCTTTAAGGAAGCAGAGAAAGAAGGCTCGAGAGGTGCAGGCCTTGAGTGTGTGCACGTCAAGCTTGGGATTTTGCAAAGAAGCTAGGTTTCAGTGTTGAAGGCAACAAAGAGGATGTTGTGCCCGAATTTGCAAAGCTGGAAGGTTTGTAGATAGCTGTTTTGTTTCAATGGTGGTTATGTTTAAGAAGGAGCTGAGTTATAATCTTTCTGGTTGCTTGAATATATAAAGGTGATTGTGGTTCTGTTAATCCACTTGTTCTTGGATGAAAGCTATAATAGGTGGACTGACGAAGGTGAGGAGTCCTAAAACTCTATGGCTGTTTAGGTTCGTGTAAAGGTGCATGGTTCCAAATTTGTTTGCAAATCAATTGCATGTTGAATATTAATTAAAAGTAATTAAGTTTGGGTGATAGGAGCTTATAAGGTTATGCTTACATCAATTTTTTCTCATGTAAGATTTTGTTTTGAGACTGTTGCAAGTCGGCATGATTTAAAAAAAAAAACCATGGTTGATTGTGTGGAATAGGAGAAGTGTTCAAAGTGAATTGTTGCTGTAGAGGATTATGTATTGTTTGCGGTTGAATTCAGACTGTTTTGGTTGACGACTGCTAGTGATGTTATTTTTAGGTTGGTGTAATATTGTTGTAGGTTCATGGTAATTTACTAGTATGTTTGTCGGGTTATTGATTGACTGTGGATGAACTGGACTGATTTAGTGATGATGTTTTTAGATCAATATACTAAATCCGTGTGTTTAGAATGTTTTACTTGTAATTTTTATCTTCGTTTTGAAGTATTTCAGTGCTTGATTTTGTATTTTTACTTCATTGAATCACTGATCAGTAATCTTATGATCTTTAATTAATAGTTCTTATATAAATAAAACTATATTTGATGTGTAGAGAAAAATGAGGCTCCATTCGGGCTCTCTTTCTTCCCTCTTTTATATTTTTGAAGTTAAACCAATGACACTAAAGTTTCACCACCACTATGACAACACCTTCTTCTAATGATGTGCATAAATATTTTGATACTGTGAAGATGACACTTTTTTATTAAAAGAATCAGTTATGATGGTTGGTCCAATTCAATCTATGTCCATCTTTAAGCATAACTTAATATTGTGATTTTTGTTATTCTATTATCAATCATCACCTAAATTTCTCGATCAACCTCCCCTAATAATAATAAAATATATTGAGAATCATGCCCGTAGTTTGAGCAAGAGAGGCACTTGCCAGGGTTTCCTTCTGCAAATGGACTAAAATTATGAAGTCCAAGTATAACTAAAAAAGCATAAATTATCTATTTAGTCATTCACATATTATTTTATTTTTTTGTCATCTAATTATTATTATTATTTCAAAATTATTAAATTTTGTTTTTTTTGTTACCCAATAATTTAGGCATGTCTTGTGTTTCGACTCTGACTTCACAAAACTGATTGCAATTAAAATGTCATCGAGATTTTTGGTGAGACCAGTTAAATAAAAAAGAATGAATTAGTAATTAAATCTGATTCTCACTTTTTTTTCCGTAGAAGTGGGGGACACCTTTGAAGGGATCTACCATTTGGTACATCCAATAGGGAATGTTTCATTTATTTATGCTTCAAGGGATAAGAATACTTTGATGGATTATCTCGCAAAGGTCGGGACGAGTAGACATGATTTGTTTAAAGCGAGGTGGTAAGGGTAAGCCTTATGAGTTTTTGCGTTGGTCCAGTGTGTGTTTTTTGTGCTGTCATTTTTTATTTCAATAATCTTGTACAAGATTAAGGTCTGCAGTGTCGCTTTCTCCGTCTATAGCTGATGAGTAGTACTTTGCTTTTGTAAGTTCTTCCCCGATCGTGGTATACTTTCTTTTCTCATATTTATAGGCAAAAACCCCCTTAAAATTCTAAGGCCAATATTTCACTAGGTGTATGGCCGAAGATACATCCCATAGAAGTCTTTAGGATTGAAAAATGTCAAATGGCAGTTTGAGAAGGCTCCTTGAGATGATTTTGGCTAAAAAATGGCAGTTTAAGGCTGATTGAGATGGTTTGGGATAAACAATGTCAGTTGTGGAGAGAGCCCTAGGTGCTTCTAGAGGCTTCCACTAGGTGCGGAGGTCTCTTCCTGCTCTATTTGGTTGCCACCTTGGGTGTCTACCTGAGAAACACTTGTCCTTACACCTTTGGCCATCTAATGTGTTGTGGTGCATGCACACATGTTCAGTGACCTTGATTTTTCCCGCACCCTCTTGTAAGTTAGACGTGACCTTGTTCGGCACGAACAACTACAATGGTCCTACCAAGGAGCATTGGCATCGATACTTTGAGCAACAACAAATTAAGCTTATTCATAAAAACACGTTCATCTCATCCACCCTCTCTGTCTTTTCACATTAGTTGAATTAAAATTTTGTATTGGATCAATGCTTAAAATAGTTGTACTCTTTATATTTTTTTCTTTAAAATATATGTATTTTTATTATCTAGCTCTTGAAGTAAACCAAACATTAGTAAAAGGAAAAAAAATAGCCATCATTAAGATAAAAAACTGCCTTTGCAAATGTTGAAAGAAGTTGTCTTTATATCACTCGTGTATGGTTATTAAGTATCAGACTAGTCAACCTTCAACTAACTGAACCAAAATTTTTTCCGTAACTCATCATAAACTATTTAAATTTCATCTCATTTTTATCCTTGTGCATGATTAGTAAAATATTGTTCTTTCTTTTAGCTTATCTTTTGAGCCAAGATGGCGAAGATTGTTATGGTAATTCTATTCTCATTACCTATAGTCCACACATTCCAATTCGTGATAAGTGAAGAAGTGAAAATCAAAGACGAGAAAACTGAAGGCCATGGTGGGTTGGAGAAAACTTCACTAACTGATGACAAAGATCATGGAAAGGTTGAAGAAAAAGAGAGTGTGGATGATGAAAAGGCTAAAAAAGGCAAGGAGCATGGTCATGTGAAAGCTAAAGAAAAAGAGAGTGTGGGTGATGAAAATGCTAAAGAAAAGGAGAGCGTCGGCGATGAAAAGGCTAAAAAAGGAAAGAGACAGTCATATGAAGGCTAAAGAAAACGATAGCACCGGTCATGGAAAGACTAAAGAAAAAAAGAGTGTCGATCATGCCAAGGCTAAAGAAGAAAAGAGTGCCGGTCATGCAAATGCTAATGGAAATGATAAAGAAGATCATACAAAGGCCAAGTGCCGGTCCTGCAGAGGCGAAACGTGATCATTAACTAAGCGATGTACCTGCATTATGTCCATAATTTCTAAAGGCTATGAAATTTTTTCAAAGTCAAAACAATGTTATTTTCCAGGCTAGAAATAAAATTAAAGTTTGATTAATAAGACAATGGCTTCTTTTGAGGTCTTGTGCTCTTGTTTTTTCTTTCCTTTTTCTTTTTTTGTTGGTCACTTGTTATAATGCTCATGCTTTATACATTTTGTTGTGTGTTTTGTTCTAATGGCCTTGTGGCACCTATTACCATTTTGTTCTTTTATGATAAAATTGATCTTCTTTAAACCAAGTACTTTGAAATATATGTATTTTTATGACCCATGTCGTCATGAAGTAAAATAAACATTAAGAAAAGGAAAATATTCAATTATTGAGAAAAGCATTGTCCTTGAGAATGTTAAAAGTTATCTTTATATTACTCGTGTATAGTTATTGAGCACTAGACTGATCAACACTCAACCAAATCGGCCTAATTTTTCCCTTCAAGTACTAGTCATAACTGTTAAAAGTTGAGAAGAAAAAGAAAAGAATCCCAACGAAAATCTTCGTGAAGAACCGGTAGATAAAGATGAATTCAGCTCAATGTAGTTGTCCTTGGTGCAGCACCGATCATAAAGATTTGAATAATTTGTTTGTAGATTGCAATTTAATGGGCTATTTTTGGTCCAAAACTTGGCAACGGTGGGAAGTTAACTTTTGTTTTAGTGTTTCTTTAACAGGTTAAATCTGATTCCTTTGGTTAATCTCGATTGTTGCTGCCAATTGGAGTTGTTGGTTGGCTAGGAACGATAACATTTTCAATGATAAATCATCTACCTTGATGGACCTCATATTTTACTCAAAGCTTCGAGTATTGACATGGATTAAAGCTACAAATGATGATCTCCAGATTATCGAAGCTATGATAATCTCAGAGTTTCACCGATACTCTCTTTTTCTTTAGCATTTTTGTTGCCCACATTGTCCTTTTCTTTAGCCTTTCCATGGTCTTTATCATCTGTAAACAAAGCTTTCTCCGACCCGTCGTCGCCTTCGATTTTTTATGGAGCCACAGCCAATGAAAATAGAATTATCATAGTAATCTTTACCATTTTGTTCTTGAAGGACATGAAATTTTGCTAGTTTTTCATAAGCTTGGAAATGAAATTTAAATAATTTTTGACTGCTCTAGTGCTCAATAATCGTACACGAGTAAGTTAAAATAATTTTTCTCTAAATAATAGGTTTTTTTCTTTTACTTCTGTTTAGTTTACTTGATGGATCATAAAAAGGAAAAAAATTGTAAATTGTTCAATATTTTAGGCATTGATTCTATACAAAATTTTGAATAGTTTTTAAAGTTTAACAATTTTCCCATAAATTCTTAAAATAAGACATGGAATGTGAATAGAGTACTCCACTTAAAATAAATTTAGAAAAAAGTACTAGTTGGGTAAGTATATTTGGTCGGTTGACTAAATTGTTTATTTTTGTTCTCTTATATTTATTTTTAGGTTATGTGTTCTAGACCTATTAGGAGTACTCTATTCTTTTCCCTAGAGTCCAGTATTAGTTTATAATTGATTATCATATATTTTTGTAGGATATATATTTCACATTAAAGGAAGTACTGACAAACTTGTGAAATTTTGGATTTTTAAATATAATTAATAGGAGATTTGACATCACTTTCAATGATTATTGTGGAATAATCTTTTTGTAAAATTCTTTTATTAGTCCTACCAGTACGCACAAGTTGTTGATTTAGACTATTTACTCTAATTGATCAAATTAGTCCATATATATTTCAAATTATGAAATTTCACTCCTGACCCAAACATAACTATGAAATTTGTTAAGTTAAATTCTATTATTAGTTCCTTGTGTTATGTTCTATTCTGCAATTAAATCATTTTATGTCATTGAAATTTAATCATATTGTTCACGTATTATTTAAGTTCAAATTAAAATTTTAATTTTAAAAAAGTGCAAGACTAAAATTTAACAAATTAGAATGTATGAACAAAATGCACAACTTATACATGGTACATAGACTAATGATAAAAACTAACTAAATATTTCACTACACAGAAGGTGTGATAAATTTTAGTGAATACAAGGGCACTAAATTAATTACTATTGCAAAATATTTCATTACTATACATATATTAACAACAGTGACAACTTTATGTATTGTCAGTGACTAATGACAAACTTATCGTGACCAACTACTATGTAACACTATTAATATGACAAAGACGATTTATTTGTGAAGAAGTTTAACACGTCACAATTGTTGGTATAACAGTGACAAAATATAAAGGCATAACAATTATTTATATAAATAGTGTCACGAAAAATATTATTCATTATAAGCATCATATTTCTGAGAAATTATACAAGATTTTTGTGATAAGAGGGCATCAACAAAAGCAGAAGTCTATCAAAGCTTCATTTTCATTTTATTGAATAGCTTTGATTTAAAAATTATCAACATAAATCAAGTACATCACTGAATGGAATTATAGATCATGTTTAGCCTCTTTATGATCGACATTCTTTTTTTCTTTAAACTTTGCATGATCCTCACTTTCTTCTTCTTTATCTTTGGCATGACTGGCTCCCTCTTCTTTCTTATCCTTTGCATGACCGGCTTTATTTTTCTTTTTATCCTTTTCATCATGGTCGCCCTCTTTTTCTTTACTCTTTTCATCATCGTCGCTCTCACTTTCATCATCGTCGCTCTCTTTTTCTTTATCCTTTTTATGATCGGCTTTCACTCTCTTTTTAGACTTTTCGTCATCTTCGCTCTCTTTTTCGTTAATCTTTCCATGACCGGATCTCCCTTTCTTCTTAGCTTTTTCATCATCATCGCTCTCTTTTTCTTTATCTTTTCTATGATCGGATTTCTCTCTCTTTTTAGTCTTTTCGTCATCTTCGCTATCTTTTTCTTTAATCTTTCCATGATCGGATCTCTCTTTCTTCTTAGCTTTTTCATCCTCGTTGCTATCTTTTTCTTTATCTTTTCTATGATCGGCTTTCTCTCTCTTTTTAGACTTTTCATCATCTTCGCTCTCTTTTTCTTTAATCTTTCCATGACCGGCTCTCCCTTTCTTCTTAGCTTTTTCATCTTTGTCGCTCTCTTTTTCTTTATCTTTTCTATGTTCGACTTTCTTTCTCTTTTTAGACTTTTCGTCATCTTCGCTCTTTTTTTCTTTAATCTTTCCATAATCGGCTTTCCCTTTCTTTTTAATTTTTTCATCATCATCACTCTCGTTTTCTTTACCCTTTTCATAACTGACTCTCTTTTTCTTTTTAGCTTTTTCATCATCGTTACTATCCTTTTCTTTAGTCTTCTCATCGCCGGTACTCTCTTTCTCTTTATCCTTTTCAACATTCGCACTCTTCTTCTCTTTATGTTTTTTTAGCTCGTTACCAACACTCTCTTTTTCTCCAGCTTTCCCATGGTCTCTATCATTATCATTAGCTAACAAATCTTTCTCATCTTTGCTTATCACAAATTGGAATGCGTGGACTAGGGCCAATGAGAATATAATTACCAAAGCAACCTTTACCATCCTGTTCTCGAATGATAAGCTGAGATAAAAAAATATATATTTTTGCTAGTTGTGAATAAGAATGTAAAGGAAATGAAAATTAAATAGTTTACGATTAGGTACTTGTAGCAAAATTTAAGCCGAATTAAAATGAGTGTTGATTGATTTAATGCTTAATAATCATACACGAGTAAGATAGAGATAATTTCTCGCAACATTTTCAAGGGTCTTATTTTTCTTAGTAACGGGCTCTATTAATGGTTTAATATATATGAATGAATTATAATAAAACACATGATTTGTATAAATTATAATATGAGACATATAATAAATATATTAAATTAACGATATAAATTATTTTAATGGTTTAGCTTTTAATTGGTTAACTAACTCCATCAATCTACTTAACCCCTCTGCGTTAGGGCTTCTCTTCTTTTGTGCAGTTTCTCTCTGCCGATTATTGGCACGTTATCCGAGGATTTCTCAACTTCTCTAGTTTTGCTAGTTTATTTTTAGGGTTCGTGTGTTGTTGTTGCTGGGGTGTGATGGGTGTCATTGAGCGTGATTTGGAGAATCTGAATTTGGGGGAAGAGGAGGAGGAAGCTTTCACGATTACGCCTCAAGGGACCGCGTCTCCAATCTCCTTTGATTTCTGCTTGGTGGGGAGATTCCATTTATTAGTCCTACCAGTACGCACAAGTTGTTGATTTAGACTATTTACTCTAATTGATCAAATTAGTCCAATATATTTCAAATTATGAAATTTCACTCCTGACCCAAACATAACTATGATATTTGTTAAGTTAAATTCTATTATTAGTTCCTTGTGTTATGTTCTATTCTGCAATTAAATCATTTTATGTCATTGAAATTTAATCATATTGTTCATGTATTAATTAAGTTCAAATTAAAATTTTAAAAAGTGCAAGACTAAAATTTAACAAATTAGAATGTATGAACAAAATGCACAACTTATACATGGTACATAGACTAATGATAAAAACTAACTAAATATTTCACTACACAGAAGGTGTGATAAATTTTAGTGAATACAAGGGCACTAAATTAATTATTATTACAAAATATTTCATTACTATACATGTATTAACAACAGTGACAACTTTACGTATTGTCACTGACAAATGACAAACTTATCGTGACCAACTATTATTTGACACTATTAATATGACAATGACGATTTATTTGGGAAAAAGTTTAACACGTCACAATTGTTGGTATAACAGTGACAAAATATAAAGGCATAACAATTATTTATATAAATAGTGTCACAAAAAATATTATTCATTATCAATAATCAATTGGTCTAGTGGTATGAGATACTAGGTCCCTTAAGCAATGTAAAGGGTTCGAATATTGGCGTTTGCGAATGGAGTAAAATGAGTTGGGAGGGTCGTCCTCGCTTCTGCAGTACCCGATCTGAATTAATTAGTCAATAGATCTAAATATCAGTGATTAATTAAAAAAAATACACATTATAAACATCATATTTCGAGAAATTATTCAAGATTTTTGTGATGAGTAATATTTGGGTCTGTAGTCGGTTGTTGTTTACTGCCCTTTGTTTTGTTGTAGAATTTTTGGTAATTCATTATTAATTTGCCTATAATATTTTTACTGATGACAGTATTTTGCGGCACGGAAAAAAATGATAATATCTGCCACAAGGCTATTAGAATATAACATACAACACATTGTATAAAAGACGAGTATGAATAAGAGCATAATAACAACTAAAAAAAAACCAAGATAAGAGGACAACAACAAATGCAATTGCCTTATTAATCAAAGTTTCATTTTCATTTTATTGAATAGCTTTGATTTAAAAATTATCAACATAAAGCAGGTACATCACTTAATGCAATTATAGATCATGTTTAGCCTCTTTATGATTAACCTTTGCATGATCCTAACTTTCTTCTTCCTTATCTTTGGCATGACTGGCTCCCTCTTCTTTCTTATTCTTTGCATGTCCGGCTTTCTTTTTCTTTTTATCCTTTTCATCATGGTCGTCCTCTTTTTCTTTACTCTTTTCATCTTTGTCGTTCTCTTTTTCTTTATTCTTTCTATGATCGGCTTTCTCTTTCTTTTTAGACTTTTCGTCATCTTCGCTCTCTTTTTCTTTAATCTTTCCATGACCGACTGTCCATTTCTTCTTAGCTTTTTCATCCTCGTCGCTCTCTATTTCTTTATTCTTTTTATGATCGGCTTTCTCTTTCTTTTTAGACTTTTCGTCATCTTCGCTCTCTTTTTCTTTAATCTTTCCATGACCGGCTCTCCCTTTTTTCTTAGTTTTTTCATCCTCGTCGATCTCTTTTTCTTTATCTTTTATATGATCGGCTTTCTCTTTCGTTTTAGACTTTTCATCATCTTCGCTATTTTTTTCTTTAATCTTACCGTGACCGGCTCTCCCATTCTTCTTAGTTTTTTCATCCTCGTCGCTCTCTTTTTCTTTATCCTTTCTATGATCGGCTTTCTCTCTCTTTTTAAACTTTTCGTCATCTTCACTCTCTTTTTCTTTAATCTTTCCATGATCGGCTCTCCCTTTCTTCTTAGCTTTTTCATCCTCGTCGCTCTCTTTTTCTTTAATCTTCTCATCTCCAGCACCCTCTTTTTCTTTATGCTTTTCATCATCCGCACTTCCTTTTTCATCTTTATGTTTCTTGAGTTCATTGTCAGCCTTCCCATGGTCTTTATCATCCGCTAACAAATCTTTCTCATCTTTGCTTATCACAAATTGGAATGTGTGGACTAGGGTCAATGAGAATATAATTACCAAAGCGATATTTGCCATCTTGTTCTCGAAGGATAAGCTGAGATAAAGAATGATTTTTTGCTATTTGCGAATAGGGGTGGAAGAGAGATGAAATTTAAATAGTTTATGATTAGGTATTTGTAGCAAAATTTAGGCCGAATTGATGGAGTGTTGATTGGTTTAGTGTTCCATAGCCATACACTTGTAGGACAGAGATAATTCCTCTCAACATTTTTAAGGGTTTATTTTAATTGATGATGATATGGATCATAAAAAGAAACATATATTTTTATTGTTTTGGTGTAATTTCAAGATTATAAATCAATAAGAATAATTAATGTTCACGTGCTGAGAAGTTCGATTGAAAATTTACTAAATGATATGCTTATCACGGTTAATGGTGGTTTTAGAACCTAAATATATATATATAAACTAGATTACTATATTGATGAAAAGTAGATCTAAACTTTACTTTGATAATTTAGGGAAACATACAAGTAATCCTCTGAGTATAAGGATCATATGGATCTACTGGACAAAAAATGTTAGATATGATCAAGATTCGATCAGGTGAAATACTAGTACCTTCATAAAATACAATTTTAAATCAGTTCTTTGTTTTGAATCTACTAAACAAACTAAAATACTGAAGTTATAAATGTATGTTTGGGTCAACGAGTTTTTTTCAAGACTTTCAAATTAAAATTTAGCAAAATAGACGGTAAAAACAGAATCAACGTGACGAAATATGTTAGGATCAAAGTAAAAAAATCTCCACAATCAATGATCAACCAGCTCGATTGGACTCAATCGATTTAGATCAGATCAGCTCAATTGGTTTGGAATGCAATTCGGACTGGTATTTGGTTTGGACCTTAGTAGAATTGGGCTTAGGCCAGAAAGTTGGGCCAATAAGGTTGGTCGAACAAGCTTCGGGTTATGGATGACTTGGTTCACAAACTGGGCTGAAATGAGTACGAATTGGGTTTTGGATGGATTCGGGCTGGACTTTCCAGTTGTGGCATAAAGCCACGTGTAGAAGGTGCTGTGCGCAGCGTTCTCCCTAGCTTGAACATTAAATAAAACTATATAATTGAAATAAAATGATCCAGGAGTTCCATATTGATGTTGGTTCACGATGGCGAGAGATGAAGAAGTATTTTCTCCTCCAAGCTCCACAACGACAAACAGCAATGATGGAAGTGAGGGCACCAATCAACTTGCGACGAGGCGGGAGTCACGCTGATGTCAGCGGTGCTGTACATGAACGGTTGGACGATGACGAATCGGAGGCTGCAACTAGTATAGAGGAAGAAAAGCTTTTGAGAAGAAAGGGAAGTTGAAGGGTTTCGATGCAAGAAATTAGGCTTTATACCCTAATTAACTCGGTTTACTGGGAAAAATGTTTAAAACCAAACTGGGGTAGTTTGCTATTCAAGGGTGTCGTAGTGCACAAGGCTCAGCATGCTGCTTAGCATCCTTGGGAATTAGGATACTGCGAAAATCAGGCAGTCAGTCCCTGAACTTACCAAAATGCATTGTCACTTATGTTTTACTAGTGATAAACTTATTGTGACGAACTACCATTTGGCATTATTAATACAATAATAGTGACAATTTACTTGTAAAGAAGCTTAACACGTCACAGTTATTAATATAATAGTGACCAAATAAAAGGGCATAACATTTATTATATAGATAGTGTTATAAAAAACATTCTTCATAATAAGCATCATATTTGTGACAAAATTACTCATCATTATATAAAATGTTATCATTAAAAGTTATAACTATTGTAGTGTATTAGTAAGATATTCTCAATCTTATAATTATATTATAGGTTCTACATATTTTTTCATAATCTTTCTAAAGCATAAAAAATACACATAAACCCTCTAAAATTATTACTCGAATTCAAGATCTCTAAAGAGAACAACACTCCCTTTAACAACAACTTAAGCTATTTTATGTGTTACTTTTGATTATTTTCTTTATGAATGTTTGTGGTAGTTATCTCAGTATTCTCAACAACTAGTATCGCAGATTTTGCTTCGAGGTCCCCAATTGCTATTCTTAAAACGTGTAACAAAAAATTGTCGCACTTAAATTTGTAGAATATAGGAAAAAACTTATAATAAAATACACAACGTAAATGTTTTTATGATTTTCAAGTTCTAAAGCGCTCAATTTGAAATGATTTTTTGCTCTGTATAGATCAATTTTATTATAAAAGAAAAAAAATTGGTAATAGCTGCCTCAAAACCATTAGAATATAACATACAACACATTGTATAAAAGACGAGTATGAATAAGAGCATAATAACAACTGAAAAAAAAAACCAAGATAAGAGGACAACAACACATGCAATTGCCTTATTAATCAAAGTTTCATTTTCATTTTATTGAATACCTTTGTTTTTAAAAGTTATCAACATAAAGCAGGTACATCACTTAATGCAATTGTAGATCATGTTTAGCCTCTTTATGATTGGCATTCTCTTCTTTTTTATCCTTTGCATGACCGCCGTTCTCTTCTTCCTTGTCCTTTACATGACCGGCTCCCACTTCTTCCTTATCCTTTGCATGACCCGTTTTCTTTTTCTTTTTATCGTGGTCGTTCTCTTTTTCTTTATCATTTTCATCATCGTCGCTCTCACTCTCTTCATCATCACTCTCTTTTTCTTTAGCCTTTACATGATCGGCTTTCTCTCCCTTTTTAGATTTTTCATCTTCGTCGGTCTCTTTTTCTTTAGCATTTCCATGATAGGCTTTCCCTTTCTTTTTAGTTTTTTCATCCTCGTCACTCTCGTTTCTTTTACCCTTTTCACGACTGACTCTCTTTTTCTTTTTAGCTTTTTCATCATCGTCGTTCTCACTTTCTTCATTGTCACTCTCTTTTTTTTTAGCCTTTAAATGATCGGCTTTCTCTCCCTTTTCAGACTTTTCATCTTCGCCGCTCTCTTTTTCTTTAGCCTTTCCATAACCGGCTTTCCCTTTCTTTTTAATTTTTTCATCATCGTCACTCTCGTTTTCTTTACCCTTTCCATGACTCTCTCTCTTTTTCTTTTTAGCTTTTTCATCATCGTCGCTCTTACTTTCTTCATCGCCACTCTTTTTTTCTTTAGCCTTTACATGATCGGCTTTCTCTCCCTTTTTAGACTTTTCATCTTCGTCGCTCTCTTTTTCTTTAATCTTTCCATGATCGGCTTTCCCTTTCTTTTTAGTTTTTTCATCATCGTCACTTTCGTTTTCTTTACCCTTTTCATGACTGACTCTCTTTTTCTTTTTAGCTTTTTCATCATCGTTACTATCCCTTTCTTTAGTCTTCTCATCGCCGGTACTCTCTTTCTCTTTATGCTTTTCATCATTCGCACTCTTCTTCTCTTTATGTTTTTTTAGCTCGTTACCAACACTCTCTTTTTCTCCAGCTTTCCCATGGTCTCTATCATTATCATTAGCTAACAAATCTTTCTCATCTTTGCTTATCACAAATTGGAATGCGTGGACTAGGGCCAATGAGAATATAATTACCAAAGCAACCTTTACCATCCTGTTCTCGAATGATAAGTTGAGATAAAAAAAAAATATTTTTGCTAGTTGTGAATAAGAACGTAAAGGAAATGAAAATTAAATAGTTTACGATTAGGTACTTGTAGCAAAATTTAAGCCGAACTAAATGAGTGTTGACTGATTTAATGCTTAATAATCATACACGAGTAAGATAGAGATAATTTCTCGAAACATTTTCAAGGGTCTTATTTTTCTTAGTAACGGGCTATTTTAATGGTTTAATATATATGCATGAATTATAATAAAACACATGATTTGTATAAATTATAATATGAGACATAACAAATATATTAAATTAACGATATAAAATATTTTAGTGGTTTAACTTTTAATTGGTTAACTAACTCCATCAATCTACCTAAACCCTCTGCGTTTGGGCTTCTCTGCTTTTGTGCAGTTTCTCTCTGCCGCTTATTGGCACGTTATCTGAGGATTTCTCAACTTCTCTAGTTTTGCTAGTTTATTTTTAGGGTTCGTGTGTTGTTGTTGCTGGGGTGTGATGGGTGTGTCATTGAGCGTGATTTGGAGAATCTGAATTTCGGGGAAGAGGAGGAGGAAGCTTTCACGATTACGCCTCAAGGAACCGCGTCTCCAATCTCCTTTGATTTATGCTTGGTGGGGAGATTCCGTACCGTGAACACAATTAATTTTCAGGCAATGAGGCGGAAAACGTTTGGCATCCGATTGGCAGTATTTCTATTTCTGAATTGGGGGTGGATCGTTATTTATTTCGCCTTTATCATGAGGTGGATGTTGATCGGTTGTTTCTGAAGGTCTGTGGTATTTTAGCTCCCACTTATTAATTTTGCATCATTTGGGGGTGGGCGATGATCCTCGTTTCGTGGCCCTTGATGTGGTGGATTATTGGGTGTGGTGAATGACTTGCTTTTTAGGTATGTTTCGGAACTGGTTGATAAGCAATTTGGTAATTTTCTTGGCAATTTTATTGAATATGATGCTACTGCAGTTTCCATGGGCTATCGTGGTAGTTTGCGCATTCGTGTGGGGTTGGGTATTCGAAAACCTTTGAAGAGGAAAAAGAAATTGGCATTACCGAATGATACGTTTACTTACGCTACGTTTCAATATGAGAAACTAAGGCTCTATTGTTTTTTATGCGGCAAGTTGGGGCATGGTGAGAATTATTGCCCAATGCGCATTCTCCGTGAGAAAGGTGATCTTATTCCGCAATGGTACTCAACTCTTAAGGCCCTCGTACGAAGGCGAGGTCAACAAACGAGTAGATGGTTACGAGAAGACAAATTGGATGATTCTACTGCTCGAGTTTCGACTAGGAAAGAGGTTGGTTCGACTTTAGGGGGTGCAGTCACTAGGACGAACGAAAGAATGGGTTGAACGTACGTTTCGACATTCAGGGGGCAACAACCTTGTTGTCAATGGTTCGGATATTGTGATGACCTCGGTGGAGGAGGCAAATCCTTTGCATAAACAGGACAGTGTGAAAAGAAAACGGAGTACTCCAGAGACCCCGATTTTGCAAACGAAAAATTTATCTGGTAACCTTGAGATATCGACAGGCTTGTGTTCCCAGGCCAGCCGGATGCAATGAAGATCCTTAACTGGAACGTCCGTGGCTTAAGGAAGCTTTGGGCCGCGGGGCATCTCCGGCATGTGCTGAGAGACGTCAACTCGTCTGTAGTTTTCTTGATAGAATGGAAGGTGTGAGAAGGAAGTGCGGTTACGTTCATGGAATTGATGTTAATTGCCGCGGAAATTGCGGTGGTTTGAGCTTAGCATGATGTGGTGACTGTGATGTTTGATTACATTCCTTTTCGGACAATCATATTGATGCTCTTATATCGTGTGTGGAGGATGGTATCACGTGGCGCTGTACTAGTTTCTATGGGGCTCCGGAAGAGCAGCGTCGCAGTGAGTCTTGGAATTTATATTGATCATGATCTGTCGTGGCTGGTTATTGGGGATTTCAATGAAATCCTTTATTCGGCAGAGAAGGTAGGTGGGTTGGATCGTAGTGTTCGTCAGATGGATTTCAATGAAACACACACACACACACACATATATATATATATATATATATTTTTTTTTAAATTGGTAATTTCGTTTTGACTGAGTTTTAAAGAAGTGTAAATATGGAGTCATTTGTTTTAGGCAATTTAGTTAACAAATATTAGATCATTATCCCATTCTCCAAGCATAGAGTTTGTCTTCACCAGACGGTCCAGTCACCAAAGCACTTATTTCTTCTCTTAAATATTTACTATACTCATCATAATTCACCGGTCTCTATCCAAATCAAGAAAAGATAAACTACCAAACACAACACCACAACTTCTATCCTCTAATATTGATAATCAGCATTTTAGTACGGTGAGCGTAGATGAATTTTTGACCAAAAGAATCAGCTGAGATACTCAACTCGGAGCAGGCAAACTAGCATCTTCCATAAAACTTCAAGAAGGTGTGGATCTCTCATAGTGTTGTTTTCTCATTAAGCATGTTTGATGTTATTTAACTTTTGTTGGTTCTTTCGGTATATATTTGATACCGGTAAGACCAGTTGTAGGAATCTTATATCGGTTTTATGTATTTTCTACATTTTCTCAATCGATATGATTAATTATCATGCGATAGCTAAAGGTAGTAAATTGTTTATGTCTTGGAATTGGGTGTTGAAGAGAAAGACTTTCATGGCGTTGCTTTGTTCATTGATGTTTATCGTATTGTTTTTGATTTTGTATCGTATCGCATTGAAAATTTGGTTCGGATTGTTTGGGGCGATCCATGGTTTTAATTTCTGAGGAAGGATTGTTGGGATTTCGCTATGTGGGTGATAACGGCACCGGATTGTCTTTCTTTAAAGAAGTATTAGTTTAATTTCGCATAAATAATATATATTTGATTCTGGTTTAACTAGTTTATAGGTTTTATTATCCTTTTCATCTTTAATATAAATATTAGTGGAGTGAAAATAAAAAATATTTAGAGATAATTCTAGAGATTATGTGTGTCTTTTTTAATAGTATGAGGTGATTACAAGGTATCATCTGTTCAAAATCTTTCTTAGTTATTAACAATGTAAACATATTATGCAAAGAAAACAATATTTCTTTTAATTATTAAGATTACTTGATGGGTTTGTGTGCTTCTAAATTAATCCGACTCATATGAAAATCATTTTTATTTATCATATAAAAACACACCTTTTATTATTTTATTTATTTATTTTTCATATAAAAACAACCGAAGAATCACATCAATTAAAAAAAAAACATATCTTACACAAAAGAGTTACCCTTTTATTATTTTATTTATTTATTTACTATTCTGAATAACGAAAATTTCATTCGCTATTCAAAAGAAAATTTTCAGTCGTCCCTGGTGTGTCCATTGCTGTGTTGTTTATGAAACGCAGATGAGAAAGTAGAAGACATATCAGAGTAAAGAGAGACAACCTTGGAAATGTTCCCATTGAGTTCTTGAATGAGTGCAACGTTTTTCACCATGTTGTCGGCTATCTTCGACCGGTGATTCTCGTTGACCTGTTGGATCAACGCCCGGTTCCGGTCCAACACCGTCTGGACCTGCTTGAAACTCTTGTCCAACGTGGACCAGACATCGGGGTTGCCTTCGACATCATCGGAACCCTCGTTCCGATGATGTTTCAATTTCCCGTTGTTGTTGTTTCTTGGTTTGTTGGACATGGTTTTTCAATCTTTTTTGGATTTCGGAATCTAGTTTTTCACATTTGCATGTACGATAAGAAGGCTATAGTCATGACGAGAGCATGTTTTAGGGGTTGAGTCATTGAAGAAACGCAGTGGAGAGGAGACTTGGGGTATAAATTGTTGAAGAAAGCTTTGTTTCACGCGCTACCAAAGCGAATGTGAGGATAATATTTATATTATCGGACAACAATATAAACTACAATAATTGCCGTGTGCGATATTAGTTAATACCGATATCAAATGGTCTAGTTTCCATCTTAAACCAATATTATATATTATATATATTATTAAAAATAAAATTAAATAATTTTAAAATACGATAAATTTGAAACAAATATGGATTAATATCTAAACGAAGATAAAATTAAATAATTTCTTTATTTGCTAGTTGTTACTTGATTGTTTTTTTAAAAAGAGTTAAATATATTTTTAAAAATTTAAACAATCTAGAAAATATTTTTTTTAAAAGTTTATATTATATTAAAAGGATGTTTAATTTGTATTTTATTATCTGGTATATTATTCGTGATAAATTATTTATACAAGTATTGTTAAAATTATGACAAGTATTTCATTTTTAATTTTTTTAAATATATTTAAAGAGACATTGTTATTATTTCAAGTTTTGTGAGACTCTTTTTCATTGACGTTCTACCAAATAATAATATCAAATTTATTAGAAGAATTTTTTTGGATAATATAATCAAACATCTTAATTTTAATTAAGGAAATTACCAAGAGACTCAGAGAAAATATTATATTAACAAATAACAATAATGATACGAAAAGACCACTAACCACATATGATTTTAGTAAATTAAATCAATTAATACAATTGACATAAAATTTGATCCAAAAAGATGTGATAGGTGAGAGACATGTGCCTTGGTGAGAGTCGTAATGAGAAATAATAAGAAATATCTTAGGCTGCAATTTTTCTTATCAAAGAAGATCAAAATGAAAGTAAAGGTGGCGGAAAAATATCTTTGAATATAATAAATATATCCTAGTTAAAAAGTGCATTTTTTTTTTAATTTTCAGTTTTTTTTCGTCAATTATTTTATTGATAAAACATATATCTAAATTATGTGTCTCGTTAAAACTTCTCTGTCCTAAATAAAGAAAAAGAGTACATAACACTTGAGTGAAATCTATAATATTGAAAAAAATATCAGCCCAAATAAAACACAAAGATTAATATAAAACACATGTGCTGTTATAAAAATGGAAGACTTATACATAACTCTTACCCAGTCCTAACTACCATCATGCTTTAAAGAACTTATCCTCATTTCTTTTTTAACTAAGTGATCAGCCATTTTTCTAAAGAAAATTTATATGTTTGACATTACTTTTATCCCCCTAAACATCTTTCAGAAACAATACTAAACAAAGATTAACTTGACTTTCGTGTAATTAGAGAAAATAATGTTGTGGTTGAACTGAATTTAACAAAATAATTTTAATAATTGAACTTAAATTTTAAATTTTGAAAAATGGAGTACTAAATTCCAAATGTTTGAAGACTATAGGAACTTGGAGCACATTTTAAGCAAATAAAAGCCAATAAATTAAAAAAAAATGAATCAAATTTAACATTAACAAAAGGTAAAATTATAATATATTAAAGTTTTCCCATCGTCGCACCAGTGGTCTAGTGGTCTTCTGATATGAAATATACTTGCTGGTGCTGGTTCTTTGTGGGGGTGTGGATCAATGCCTATGTCCTGAAAGGTACTGATTTCTGATATTCTGAATTCAACAATAATGTCAGCTGGTGCTTGAACAAGTTATTTCAAATGAGGAGTGAAGCTCTTACTTTCTTTGCTAATAATGTTGGTTTAAGGTGAATTAATACCTGAGTCATATGGTCAGAGATTAGACTGCATAATAGTAAAGTGTAGTGCCTTTGGCATCCTCTCCACATTGCTTTTGTTGCCTGGCTTGCCATTTTAAGGGAGATTGAATATTAAGGATAGGCTCATGCATATGGGGCTTGATGTTGAAGGAATGTGCAGGCTCATTCATATGGAGATTGAATATCGAAAATGGAGTTCCCTGCTTGTTTGATGCCAGAAGAGGAAAAAGATAATGCCAAATGTTGTTTTTACAATATATTAAAATCCAACCGTTTAATCCTTTATCAAGGGCCAAACTTCCCCTTCATTACGTACCTTCACACACCAGCAAAATCACTCACCAGAAAATATCTGTATGATGGTTCAAAATTTTCAAGTACATAGAACTTCAGAGTAAGAGAATTCATAACAAATTAAATATTTGGTAAGAAGTAAAAAATCACCAATAAAAATGAATACATGGAGGACCATATTTCAATGATTAATTTAGAAAATTAAGTGTGCCACATATTTGGTAACCTTTATTAATTGATTAGACCATATTTGAAAGCTGTTGTACATAATTATATGATTTGATGACAAACAGAGTAACATATATAAAAACAAGCCCCAAAAGTGGTGGAAATTACACAGATAAATGGAACATTAATACAAATTATTGGTGGAGAACTGTAAATATTCAATATTTATTCTCTTTGCTCAAAGCAGAGTGCTCTAAGCCTACACTTCGCCTGACCTAAGCCTTTTAAGTTATCAATATGCCACCTCAGATACCTGCAAAATGAAAACACAACAATTATCTTACAAATAGTGGAAATGTGCCTTAAGTGATCAAATGATTGAGTTTTTTTTAACAAGATAAGAATATTTTATTACCTGTTGATCAAACAATATATTTACGTTCGAACCTGTCGACGTAATCGTGTTGGATGAAGCTTGTCTCTAATGGAGCAAAGCTTGATAACAACATCACTCATGTTAATCCTCTCACTCGGTTGCTCAGAAGAACAAGTGAGACCTATTTCAAATATAGAATTCAAGCACTGTAGGTGTTTGTCATTTCTCAGGCTGTTTCCATTGAGAGTTCCTCTTCCGACTCTTTCTTGAAGAAGAGTGCGATCTGTTATCTCAATCACTTGTTCCGGCAAAGATTCTTTAACATACCTGTGAAGGCTTAAACCTTCTTTGAACCTTTTGTCGGTCGGTCTTTTCCCCGTAAACATCACTAACAAGAGGATACCATAACTATACACATCACCTTTTGTTGACAGCTCGCTTCCCATTCCATATTCTACAATTAATTCACTGTAAATCACATATAAAAATAATCGTAGAGGAAACCTCTAAATATACGAAAAACTGCAATTTAGGTTTTGCTTTTAAAGAATGGAAGAAATGAATAAGCTGAACTTACCTGGTGGAGCATAACCAATAGTTCCTCTTACCCCAAGGGAGCTCGAATGGTTAGCAGAATAGTTAAGTCCGTCTGCATAAAGGATTTTTGCTACACCAAAGTCACTTAGATGGGAAACCATTTCCTGATCGAGTAGAATATTGCTTGGCTTCAGGTCACAATGAATGATTGATGTCTCACAACCATGATGTAAATAATCCAGTGCATGGGCAACATCTATGGCCACATTAACTCTTTGGAAGAAGCTCAGGTTTCTCATTGTCTCCGATTCACACATGTCGATAGATGGATGTAGCCAATCCTCTAAGCTTCCATTTTCCATAAATTCATAAACCAAGGCTTTAAAATCATTTCCGTGATAATCAACACCAGAAATTGCTGTTAATAACTTAACAAGATTTCGATGTCGAATGTTCTTCAAGGCCTCACATTCAACCAAGAAACTCCTCGAAGCTCGATGATTCAGAAGATTAAGCACTTTTACTGCAACAACTGATCCACTCTGTTCAAGAATTCCTTTATATACAGAACCATAACTTCCAGAACCAACCAAATTCTGCATTGAAAATCCGTCAGTAGCTCTTAGGATGCTTTGGTAAGATAACCATAAAAACGAATTTCCTGCAGAGGTTGTTGTTGGCTGTTTTTTCTTCTTTCTAAACCACTTGATGAGAAGAAAAGAGAATATCAAAATCACTCCTAAAATCAAAACAATAATTGCAATTTTTAATCTAGAAGGAGTTTTTGATGATGATGTTCTTGAGTTACATTTACATCTTAACAAGTGTAACTCAAGAATGCCTCCACAAAGCTTATTGTTTCCCTGGACAAATGTAGCACTTGCATTCTTAAAGATTCCTTCACTTGGTACCATTCCCTCAAAATCATTGAAAGAGAGATTTAAATACTTTAAAGCCCCAAAGCTCACAAGAAAATCTGGAACACCACCAATAAGATTATTGTTAGATACGTCTAATGCCTCGAGTCCTTTCAATGAACTCAAAGATGACGGAATGGGCCCTTCAAACAAATTGCCATCCAAGAAAAGCTTTTCTAGACTGACACAACTACCAAGGTTGTCCGGAAGCAAACCAGATAACCTGTTTTGGGAAGCATAGAATTCACTTAGTTTTTTCAGATTTTCTACTTCAACGGGAAGCTCACCAGTCAAATAGTTGGACGATAAGTCTAGTGAAATGGACATGGATGAGAGTCGAAGAATTTGAGGTGGTATTGGTCCACTAAGATTGTTATAAGAAAGACCCAATTCAAGCAAATTTTGGCACTTACCTAGACTTGAAGGAATGTTGCCTTGGAGATTGTTTACATGCAAAGCAAGTTTGGTTAATGCAGTTAAATTTCCAATGGAATGAGGTATACTCCCAGAGAAAAAATTAATCTGCGCTGAAAATATCATTAGCTTCTGAAGCCTGCCAATATCGAGGGGAATAGGTCCTGATAGTTGATTTTGAGATACCCCCAGCACTTCTAAATTGATGAGATTTCCAATGCCATTTGGAATTCTTCCCCTTATTTTGTTCTCTTGCATTACTAAATCTGTAAGGGTGCTAGAAAAATTGCTAATGCATTCAGGAAATACCCCACCGAAATTATTGTCGCCCATAACTAGGAGTTCTAGTTTGGTATTATTAACTAAAGTGCAGAAAAAGTGCAAGTCACCTTCTCCCCCATGTCCCAAATGGTTTGAGTCTATGAGAAATGAAAAGAGATTATTCAGCTTCTCTAACGAAGGCACGTTTCCACTGAGTCTGTTGCCCTCAAGTTGAAGTATATTCAGATTTGAGGCATTGGATATTGAAGCAGGGATTTCTCCAGAAATTTGGTTTCCCCACACAGAAAAGAACTCAACATATGGCATAGTGATTGCTAAGTCAGAAGGAAGTGTACCTTGAATCTTGTTTCCTCCAGCGGAAAAGAGTATGATATTAGATAGGTTGAAGATTGTGACTGGAACAATACCTGATATTGCATTATCGTCTACCGTGAAATATGAAAGATTTGTCAGGCGCTCAAGGGCCTTAGGTATACTCCCACTTAATGCATTACTCGTCAAATCAAGTTCCTCCAAGGATGACATGTTCCCCAAGGAAGGTGGGATACTTCCTTTCAAATAGTTGTTTCTAAAACCCAAGAAGTACAGGTTTGACAAGAGACCCAACGAAGCAGGTATTTCTCCTGTTAGCTGGTTGCCTTCCATTTCAACTATTTCAAGCTTAAAACAAGCAGATAAATTGGAAGGAATTTCACCACTGATGGAATTATTGGCCACTTCTAATATTTCCAATCTTCTTAAACGGCCAATCTCTTGAGGAATCTCGCCGTGGAAGTTGTTTCCCGTAAGATTCAACTCCCTTAGAAAGCTCAAATTTCCAATGTACGGCGATACGAGTCCTGAGAGTCTGAGGAATTGCAGTTCCAATTTGGTGACTCTCCGATGCTTGCGACCGCATGTAACACCATGCCACCGACAGAAGTGAATGGAACTATTCCAGGAGTGCATAATTCTGAGCTGATCGCCAGTAATCATGGCTTTGAACTGGATTAAAGCTTGCTGATCAGTATCATTTCCTCTAACCACATGAGTTGCTGTTGCTAAACCAAGCAAGTTGAAGCATGAGAAGAGAAGTAAAACTTCAATGTAAACAAGGTAAAAAGAGCTGGACCCTTCAAAATGATTTCTTAATAGCTCCATAAAATCGAATCAATTTCTTTGTATTTGAGAGTGCTTGGTTCATCAACAAGGACCAGGGTGCTATATAAATAGTTTTTGAACTCCGATATTATCATAATTTATCACCCGTCAATTGGTTCAAGTTTGAAAGCCGCGTGGTTACTATTTCCATGTGCATGTTGTAGTTAGATGCGTCTAATTGGGGTTGATGTTTATGGTCAATCAGGGGACATAAAATTTTATGTTAGGAATAAACTTATAAAATTCTAAGATACCAATTTATAAAATTTTAGACAGAAAAAATAAATTATTAATAAAAAAATATTAAATATATAAAAATTTAAAATTTTTAAAGAAATAACCATCCGTCAACCGATGAGTAGAATTGTGATCGTAATTAAAGGAAATTCATATTGCCCCAATGACTAAGCCGTGAAGTTTTGAATAAAACTTTAGACATTGATTCATCATTTTTCAACCTTTCTTGTAGAAGATAACTTGACATGACATAACCCATCGCCTTCAAGTAAACGCCGAGGCAGAGCTGGATTCAATGAATGGCACATTCATAGGACCCAATTATGGAGCCATAACTCTCATCAAATTATAAATACAACTTATGGTATTTATATTTTGTTTTTCGTGAAATTTTAATACTTATAACATATAATATAATTCGTCACTCAATTTTATGTCATACTTTACTAAAACATTATACATATGTAACTGTAATTATGGATTTTAGCATCATATGAATGTTGCTCTCTTATAGGTAAATCTGAGAACGTGAAGGAAATGATAGAAAATATGGACGACGAAAATCGGACAATAGTTTACAAGGTGGTAGAGGGTGGTTGTTTGAAGTGGTACAAGAACTCCAAGTCCATCCTAAATGTGAAGCAGAAGGGGGATGGAAGCTTGGTGAAATGGACCATGGAATTCGAAAAAGCAACACGATAACATTACCGATCCGGTCATGTACGCCAATTTCTTCACCACTTGGATCAAGAATGTCTATGCTTTCCTTCTTAATAACTAGATGTAACTCTGAAATAATCAATCCTATAATCATGGTAAAATATTTAAGTACTTCTCCAGTATTGTAAAATAAAATCGCTTCCTCCGTCATGAGAGAGCTTGGTATCGTGAAGTATGTGTGTTATTATTGATAAGGATGGAAATGAAAAGCTAAAGCAATTAATCAACAATCGGTTACTGTTATTCTTTTCAGATTGAATTTTGGTTAATCTAATTGAGTTTTCTATTTTTTTCATAAAAATTTAACAAAAATCTATATAAAATTGATGATTTTTTATTTTTTTTAATGTTTAGCATCAATTTCTAAATGTTTTATAATGTATTTTTATCATATAAAGAGATATTTGAACTTATTTCAATAAAATAACTATAGAATTTTATAAAAATAATAAATAAAAAAATTATTCATAATTAGATTTTTTAGCAGATTTCTAAAAATGTAAGAATTTCAAGTTTTCTTTTGGTTCAAAGGATTAAAATGGTTTTAAATATGATTTTCAAGTGTTCTAAATCAATAGTAAGTAATAGATTTGAGTTTGGGTCGACTCCATATGAATATGATGTCAGTCTTGAGTAAACTCAAAGGAAGGACTTAAGGGGAGCGGTTGGGATAGTCGGCCCTTAAAATTTTCAAATTCTCTAATATTTTAATTTTTTTTGTATTTTCTAATGATAATTTATTTTTACCTCCTAAAATTTTAGAAGTGTATCCCCTTTTAATTTATAAATTTACTCCCCTAACATAAAAGTCTAGGTTGCAGACTCAAAACCCAACATTATTATTAATATGGCAAACAAGTCTACTTTTTCCCAACTATCACTTGAACAAAACACAAAGCTTCTATTTCTTGCTTTTGATACCTGCAACATAGAAAATAAGGAAATCTCATTTACTTCATATCATCTAAAAACAATATTTATCACTTGAAGGTATATTATTACCTGTTGATTGAGCAACATATTTTATTTGAACTTGTTGACATAATTGAGTTTGATGAAGCTTGTTTCTAATGGAACAAAGCTTGGTAACAACATCACTCATGTCAATCCGCTCACTTGGTGAATCAGAAGAACAAGCGAGTCCTATCTTGAGTATCGAATTCAGGTACAGGAGATGTCTGTCATTTGCTAGGCTGTTTGAACTTGGAGAAATGTCACCTATTGTTCCTTAGACTCTCTCTCTCAGTAAAATGTGATCTACAATATCAATTACTCGTTCTGGTAAAGCTTCCTTAACAAAGTTGTGAAGACTTTCACCTTCTTTAAACTCTTCACTGGTCGGCCTTTCCCCCGTAAACATCTCTAGCTAGAGGATGCCATAGCTGTACACGTCACCTTTCATTGATAATTCGCTTCCCATGCCATATTCTACAATTAGTTCATCAAAAATTATATATGAAAGTGCTTAAAAATATAAAAATCTCCTCTTACATCCAAGCTCTAGATATAAGAAAAACTACTACTAGATTGTGTGTTTTGCTTTTAAATAATGGGAGGAATGAATAAAGGAAACTTACCTGGAAGTGCATAACCAATAGTTCCTCTTAATCCTAGGGAATTGGATTTTTTTGCAGAAAGATTAAGCATGTCTGCAGAAATGATTTTTGCCAAGCCAAAGTCACTTATATGGGCAACCGTTTCTTCATCGAGTAGAATATTGCTTGGCTTGAGGTCACAATGAATGATTGTTGTTTTGCAATGATGATGTAGATACTCTAGTGCATGAGCAACATCTATGGCCACATTAACTCTTTGCCAGAATTCAGGTTTCTCGTTGTCTCTGGTTCATTTATACCAACAGATGGATGCAGCCAATCCTCCAAGCTTCCATTTTCCATGAACTCATAAACTAAGGCTTTAAAATCATTGCCTTGATAATCAACGCCTGAAATGGCTGCTAATATCTTGACAAGATTCCGATGTCGAATGTTCTATGATTCAAAAGATTAAACACCTTTACTGCAATAACTGTTCCATCCCCTTCAAGAGTCCCTTTATATACAGAACCAAAACTTCCTGAACCAACCAAATTCTCCATGGAGAATTCATCAGTAGACTGTAGGATGCTTTGGTACGATAACGGTAAAAGCGAATTTTCTGCACAGGTAATTGTTGGCTGCTGCTCTTTCGTCTTTCTAAACCACAAGATGAGCAGACAAATGAAAACCAAAATCACTCCTAAAATCACATCAACAATCGCAATTTTGAATGCAAGAAAAGTTTTTGAAGAGGATTTTGAGTTACATCTTGATAAGTATGGCCTAATCATTTCTACGAATTTAAAGCCTCAAATGGTATTCTTTTTATGTTATCCAGAAGTCTCTCTTTATATAATTTACATAATCTCCATGACCGATCTTTTATGTATTTTGGTGTTCCAAACCGTCCATTCATTTTTTTATTTAACCCCCGTTTGTTTGGCAATACATGTATGGGAATCCATACAAAGTATAGCCAAAACTCTAGGTCTTTCATAACATAAATCCATTAATTATTGTATTTATTCTTCATAATCTTTCATATCATTAAGGATCTCCCCCATCAAGAACTTGTACTCTTGACTTCAAATTCTGGACACAAAGCTATTAAGTAGCTATATATCTGAAACAAGAATAAAAAAAGCAAGAACCCATGGGAGTATTGATGTCGATACACTCTAAATACCAATTTGTAAATCACATACTAATCCTTGTTCAGACTGATACAGATTCAGAGACCACGAACAACAAAAGCAGGAAAAATTTATAATTAGTTATAAATATCCAAAAATTAATTAAAAATTACGTACACACTAGAAGAAGAGCTTGAACCTTCGTCCTTGTGGTTAACAGCCACACACTCTAACCGAGTTATTCCAGCTTTGGCTTTCAGTTTTGATATAGCTTTTTTTTCTGAATTTCTTTATTAGTCAGAGTGGTCAGCAGCAGTGTATAACATTTGTAATGGTATGGTGATTCATTTCATGCTGTAGATGAATGCTTATGGTTTTTTTTTTAAGTGGCATTGGTTTTATGTTAGTGGTGCATTTGATTTTAAAGAGCCCAATGGAATGGTGGATGCCTTGGCAAAGGCCGAGATTAGTAGGCAAAGCATGTCCATGGCTTGATGGAGATGGTTATATGGCACGGGATTCGATTGTCTTATGGTATTCAGAACCCTGGATTTAAATATGAGTTTTCAACACTAAAAATTTTCTATATAGAATTTTCCCATCTCTTCTACTATAAATAGATAAGGTGTTTTTGTTGTAACTAATTGATTGATGAAAAAAGGGATGTGATTGTGTTAAATACAGATTATAGACAAACTCTATAGTTTTCCTCAAAGTTGAGTCCAGAAAATACTAGATAGCTGCACTTTGACTGACCTTAGCCACTCAAAACCATTCATGTTATGGCACCTTAGCTACCTGTAACATATGAAAAAAAGGAAAAGTCTAAAGCATCAGGTTTACTATAAAAGAATGTAACCAACATACATTTTACTTGTTAAAATCATTTGAATTAAAGCATTAATATGAATTCATGTAATGATTGATTATTCTGTTTTGTATACCTGTTGATTTAGTAGCATATAAAGCTTGGGCTCACTTAGACGAAGAAGCTTGTCTTGAATAGAACAAAGCTTGGGAACAACATCAATCACGTCCATCCGCTCACCGGGTGATTCAGCAGAACAAGCTAGTCCGATTACAAATTTGAATTCAAGTGTTGAAGATGTATATCATTGAGAGTTATACTTTCTATTGTTCTTTAAATAGCACTCTCTCCTGAAGAATAATGGGATCTATGATCTCAGTCACTCGATTAGGAAAAGCTCTAGCAACAAAGTTTTGAATGCTGAAACCTTCTTTGAACATATCATGAGTCGCGTTTTCCCTATAAACATCTCCAGCAAGAGAGAATACAAAAAAAAAAAAAAAAAAAAAAAAAACAAAAGCAAGCACTTTGTAAAGAGTATGAAACACACCTTAGTTGCTTGCGTTCTGGATCAATCAAATTCTTTTGTCAAACGCTTTTCGAGCCCGAAATGCTGAATATAACATCCCAAAAAGTCTGGTGCATGTGTAATGGTGAAGCAAACAATCTTGGTTATGAGTGCAGTAAGCTCTTTGGTGCTATA